AAACCCATGATAATGTTAGGTAACCAAGAAACCAGACAGAAGTGCAGGTTAAAAAATAAAAGGAGTTTATTGAAAATAACAGTAAACAAAAACGGCAAACAATTATGGATGGAGGCCGGGACGTTGTCAATGCCAAGCCAGAGGCCAAATGACAAAGTGTGTAGTCAGCCAAACCAGGTCAGGGAACTCTGAGAACAGAATCCAGGAGATCAGTCAGCCAGAGCCAGGGTCATACACAGAGAACAGGAACAATTGCGGAGCACTTGGTAGATCTGAACACGCAAGGACAGAGGCTGAATGGACCAGCTGATGGTTAAATAGTAAAGACAGGAATTTGTCAGATGTTTTGCAAGTAGTTGCAGATTTGGTCTTAAGAGGACACCAAAGAGAAACAAGCAGTGTCAGACATACTGCACACAAGGCATGCTGCAGCCAACTGGAGGAGGGAGGGGAAGGAACCCAGACAGATGTTAAATATAGGGATATTAAAAAAGACATTATTATCTTTTTTAATATAAAATTTCAATAAATGAATATGTCTAATGCACTTTTATTTGTTGCAGGTATGTGAAAATCAAACAATACACCATGGAGTGCACAAGACGGTATGTGTTCAAGTGGACCTGTCATTAATACTTGCACTCCACATAAATCAGTAAGGCACATTTCAATATTAGCAAATCACATTATTATTCTGAGAAATAAAATTATTCCTGCATGTAACCTGAATGCCAGAAGTTTAGATGACGTGGTCCCTGGCTACTAGTAGCATTGTGGGTGGTTCACACTTTTTTATATTAGGCTTCCACTGTTCATCTGGAACCCTTTGAGGGGGAAGTCGGGAGGGGCGTGTTACACATTGATCTGTAGAACTAATCAGGCAACACAGGCCTTTTAAAAGAAGCTCACATCTGCTTTTTCAGACATGAGCTCACCTGAACCCTTTAATTACCAGGGTGTATAGTATATGTCCTTGGCAGTTAAAGACTCAGTACAGTACAGGGTGCACCTATGTCACTGGATTTATAGAACATTATGGATAGGAACTATTCCCTTTTCAGACACTCTCTGTTTGGAGCTTGCTCTCACTCTCCTGTGTATTGACACATTCACTTGTGTACATTTCAGCTTGTGATTGTGAGCTCTCTAAGCAGCAGTGTTTGTTTTCCACAGAGCAAATAAAGAGACTCTGGAAAACATGTGAAAAAGAGCTGAGAGCTCCCCCTGCTGACAGCACATAAAAATACAAAATAATCCTATGCTGTATTTCATATACATACATATATATACATATACATTATATATAACCTGTCCATAGTAAATGAAGAAAGAAAATATATACAAAACTACTATACATTTCCCAAATACCACAATTTCCCTTTTTATGTCCTGGTGACCGTTGTTTGTGGTTTAGAAAGTTAAGGAACATTTCTGAGTTATCACCAGAAAAATAAATCTTCCAATTGGAACACTTGTTCTGGTGACAACTGTCTAAGAAGGGGTTGACTCACTGCAGGGATTTCTTCATACTGCCTGTTTTATCTACAGGAAGTGAGGGAAAATCTCCACATGGGGACACAGATAGCAAAATATGTAACAACGGTTTTAACTATTTCCTACTCTATCCAAAATGTAAAAAAATAGGTTTCAGCTTTACATATACTTCAAGTCAAAATGAGGTTTGGAAAACGTTTCAGATGTAAACAGTGGAAGTGGAGGCCTTTAACTGGAATTTCTCGCTCTCCATTTAGTGTTTTCAGAACGACAACATACGAATCCCAAAGAGAAATTTACAATACTCAACAAAATACGAAGCCAGGGTTCGATCGAAGCCAAATGGAATATACTATGATGGTTTTTGGAGCCAGTGGAGTGAAACAACCTACCTGATGACAGAGCCAAATGAATTAACAGAGAATCTTGTAGGAGAACTTTCATTGTCTGGTAATCATGGACTTTCCTTTTTTAAGTGTCTGAAAAAGACCCAAAAGAAATCTGGTAGCAACCATTAACAACTTGTTTTTGGAGGTACATGCTTCATGACTTTCACTGTTATCCTGGTCTCCCTACTTACTGAGTTACAGAAAGGAAATAAACCATGGGGCCGATAAAGTTAGACTTGGCTTGTGTTAGTTAAAGGTCAGTAACACCTAGTTTGCTTTGAATACAAGAAGTAATACATTTAATAAAGCATTACAGCCCATTAACAGTTTTAATTTTAATACCCCCCCATGTAAAAAAAAAGTTACCAAGTGGTACATCACTCCACACTGCAGCACAGGCATCTGAGTCCTCCTCTGTGGTCCAGTGCCAGTCCTCTTAAGAGTTGAATGACACCCAGCATCGTTCAACCTACTACCTGTGCCAGGCCGGATTTACTCTCTCTGCTGCCCAAAGGCCAGGTTGCTCAATGTGCCCCCCTACCCGGCAACACTCCCCCCATGGAGAATGGCAGACCTGCAGGCTGAATACAAATGATCTTGGCGACATCGCCGAGATCACGTGTATAAAACAAGCGGTGGCTTCCCCACTGTACATTTAGCCCTGCTCGCCCAAAGCAGGGCTAAATGTAGAAAACAACTACCTGCCTGGCGCCTGGAACTGTATGCCCCGGGCATCGGGAGATAATAGGAATTCCACACCCCTGCTGCCCCTCTACTCCCTGCTGCCCCAAGGTCGGGCCTTGGTTGGCCTTGTGGCAAATCCAGCCCTGCTCATGGGAGTATGCTGCAGAGAACATTATTCTGCTCTCTGTAGCATTAAGGACTGACCATTGCTGGAGGAAAAAGAAGGGGACCTGTGATGACAACTGACCAGCCTAAAGATTCCTGCCCCAGTGGTATGTAAGTATGAAAAAATATATGTATGTAGAGATTTAAATAAATAAATAAATGCAGGGTGAGGAGAACTGGATTGCAGGAGGGTTTAATGAATTGGACTTTAATCATAAAACCTAACTGTATGTACAAAGTGTCTCCATGTTCTAAACTGAGCCAGAAAATCAAGAAAATAGCCGGTAAGAACAATGCCTATCTGATTAGGTGAGATTATTTCCTCTCTTTCAGGCATCATGGTACACTAATATACAAGTGCACAGACTACAACTAAGCTTGGCACATATCATGCCTCCAGTATATTTTGAAAACCTTTAACTGATTCTGTAAAAAAAAAAAAAATGTTTAGCCATTCATCCCTATCCATGGCATACTATACCTTTCAGTGATGGGGAGTCGAGCAGCGACATTACATGGCTTCCCCTAACTCACAGTGGTCCTAAACAGGGTGGGCACAGACAACAAATGATTTTGGGTGTCTGGTTTAGAAGACCTGTACTATTGATAATACAAATCTTTGAATGGGCTGAGCCAATAAAACACAGCACTCCTAATGGGGCTGATATCTTGTCTTAAATCTTGTTAAAGGAGAACTAAACTGTGGTCGGGGCGGCTGAGGCGGCTCATGCCATACTGTGCCCATATTCACAGCTTACATGCACATTATGGAAGACCTACATTTTAGTATGGCCTCCTCCAGCACTGATGGCTCCCTGTTGTTCGCTGCTCCATTCTCCCCCACTGCCATATTTCCCACCACTTCTTCCTTGGGCTATTTGGCGGCCACTAATGATGTAACTCTTGCACAGGTGTGCTGGAGTTACCTTATCCTTGCGCCTGGCTCTAGACATGTGTGATTTGTTTTGTTTCTAATCAAAATTTGGACAAATTTTCTGAAATTCAGACAATTCCGAATTTCCGAATCCCAATGCATCCGAATTTCCGTTTCCGAATTTCGGATCCCGTCCGAATTGTGTTCAAAAACGAAATTGAATCAGACATGTGACTTTCGGGCCAATCGGATGTGTTTGTCGGTTTATTGCATCCGAATGGGTCTGAACATGATGGCCAATCAGATGTGTTTTTCGGTTTAATGCATGTGAATGGGTCTGAACATGATGGCCAATCAGATGTGTTTTTCGGTTTAATGCATGCGAATGGGTCTGAACATGATGGCCAATCAGATGTGTTTTTCGGTTTAATGCATCCGAATGGGTCTGAACACAAATTTTCGTTACGGCAACATGGGAGCCATATACAGTATATACATATAATACTAAAGCTGAGGCTCCCAGACCCGATTGGGTATTCAGGATCCGAATTCCGTAAATATCGCATTTGCAGTCAACAACTGACACTCCAATAGTGATGCAAGCACGTTTTTTATTGACGCATGTTCACATGATCACAAAGCAAACAACGTTTCGCGGCCCCCCATAGGGTCCCCTTATCAGGCAAACAACGTCACGACAACATGATCACATTGTTTGCCTGATGAAGTGGCCCTATGTGGCCCTGAAACATACCTAGAATCCATACCAATGTGCCGTTCATTAATGCTGACCCTGATAAAATCAACTGACAATATCCAGCCCATAGTGTTCTAACAACCAGTGACTGAGCCACAGCCCCATTCAGCTACCCAACCATAGAGATGAGCAACCACTAGCAGATGTTGATGGCTTAAGGCTGATCAGTATACCACAAACCAAAATGCTGTGTTGGGGTTAGAGAAAGGCATGTTTTTTTAACAATAAATGCTATATTTTGGCCATTCAATAAAAGAGCCCACTTTTTCTCGTTATAGTGTAGTATTATTAGTATTTTTATAGTGGCAACATAGGGGAGCAATGTACAACTCAAGCAAGGACAGATTTACCATTAGCCTCTGTAGGCTTCTGCTGATGGGTGGCAGAGACAAGGCCACATTCCTTGTACAGTTTTCAGCCACACATTTTTTTCCCCATTAATAGAGATATATTGATCTCACATATGTTTATACAAACAGGGTCACAAAAATGTAAGCCAGGTAAGACCAGCAATATAAGAAAATGTTCTGGAAAACGTTATCGCCGTACTGTATACAGTAATCTTTATTGTTCTGAATACAGCTGGTGATTGTACAAATGAGTTGAATGACTATTGGGGGATTCTATTTTCCAGGTGAAGAAGACCTTCTCATAGTGATTTTATGCTGCTGTGCTGTAGCTTTCATACTCATTGTTGTCATCACATTAACCAAATTGTTTTGGAAAGACAGGTAAGAGTATTATAATTCTAAAGAAGAACATTTATTTATGAGGTGATAACCTTTCAGGGGCCCCGTGCCGCATTGTAGCACAATTGCTGTATCTTGCCAGTAATCAGACTCAAACTTTTACATTCCAACTATATTCTTCAACGGCAGGTCTGAACTTTGTTGGGTGGCTGGGAAAGAACTCTTCATAGAACTGACACTTTGAGGCTGTTCATTTTAAAGTTTAAAGGAGTTCTAAATTCACAGCAAATACCATCCTGTTATAACATCAGCATTGTAATAGGAATACATAGTAGAGTTGTTTCTGATAATACAATCAAAGCTTACTTGAAAAAATCCCTTTTGTGTAGTGAGTGCTGCCTTTTGTCTGCCCATCACTTTCACCAACTTCCTGGATTCCCAGTGTGCTTTGTGTCTCTTTTCTTGCTGCTTGATGCAATCTCCATTTATAAAGAGTACATATCCCATCATGCATTGCTTCCAGCAAGCAATGGTAATGTTACATTGTTCAGACATTGAGTTGTAGTTCAGAAGGCAGGCCCTGTGAGAGTTCTAACACCAGGGAGTGCATATTAACGGGGCTGAGTGAAATTGTGTCAGTGCATTGAGGAAGTCCATCCTATGAGCCTCTTCAATAAGTAAGTTTACAAACTTCAATATGGATATGGTTATTAGGAGCGGGATGGAACTTCTGGAGATTTATTATAGAAATACATTTGTATTTTAGTTTTGGACCGTAGATACCTTTTACGTGAAACCCGTTAGCCTTTCTAAGGTTATAAAGCCAACAGTCCTGTCTAAAAGTAGGTTCAACCAGGTACTTTTATTAAAGGATAAGTGCACATAAAACATAGTGGACTTATCCTTGAGGCCCCTGTGGCATCACTGCTCCCTCCCTTCCTCCCCCGGCACAGAAGAGTTCCAGATGGCCCAGCGTTCATTGCTTGCTTAGATCCTGCCACTGACATCTTCTTCTTCTGGTCACGTCTGTGCAGTAGATCCCCCTTAACGTCTATGGGGCTCTTCTCTCAGCTGAAAGATGGAGGTAGACAAGCCCCACAGAAGTCAATGTACTGCGCAGGCAGAGGCGCGACCAGCAGGATGTAGACATCAACGAAATACTGGCCCATTGGAACTTGGTAAGTACTCATCTTTGCAGGGGTAGGAAGGGAGCGTTGATGTCACCTTAAAAACTGTTTTAAGATGCACTTATCCTTTAAGCAGACACACGGAGCAGGATTTTCTGGTTAATGAAGGTTATAGGTGTACTCTGATAATTGGGGCACCACTTCAAATTAAAAGTGGACCTTCACACTTACATATTACTGCCCCATCTTCTAATGCCCACAGCTTCCTATAACATAGTCACAAGATTTGGGAAGGGCAAGTACCTTTTTCTGCAGGAACTTGTTCCTACTTCTTCCTGGGAGAGGATGAGGATTACTTCGCCATTGGCTGCCCCGCCACAACCTCCTGAGATCAAATCCCACATCCCAGGATGCTTGTGCATGCTGTGTTCTAAAGTAGCCACCACCACAATCTCGCTCCCGTGATGGACTACAATCTCATGCTTGGTTTGTATTTGTATTGAGATTGTAGTCAATCACAGGAGTGAGCTTAGAGCGGTGACTACTTTACAACGCACACAGGCACCATGGCAATCAAAAGTAAGCCACCATCCAGAAGGAAGCACAGTGTCAGCACCAATTCAGAGATGATTTGAGGATCTACAGCCAAGTGATACACAAATAAGCTATATCCAAAAACGCCAGAACTCACCACTCCGATCCCACCTCCGACGTCAAATCAGGGTATGCACCGGGTGCAGGCTACAGTGTGCTCCCACTCCTCGAACAATACTTCTGCAATATGCCGCACTCCTTGATAATTGCACAATCGTAAAGTGACTAGCTTATTTGTGTACAATCAGCCGCACAAGACTGGTATCCAACAAATCCAAATTTATTGTAGTAAATTCCATTACTGGATCCTAGATTTAACATGTATAGCCTATACACCACCAATGAATCTCTCCCACTCCAGCACCTCTAGGCCCTGGAGTGGGAGAGATTATTTAGTGGTGTATATGCTGTAAATGTTAAATCTAGGATCCTGTATGGAATTTATTACAATAAATTTGGATTTGTTGGATACCGGTCTTGGGCGGCTGATTGTACACAAATAAGCTAGTCACTTTAAGATTGGGCAATTATCAAGGTTCTTGAATGCATTTTTAAGATTTAATTCCTGAGTTTAGTGTCACTTTAAATGTTAATTTGCTCATAAACCAAATAAACTATTGTTTCTTGTTGCACTGCAGATTAAAATCACACCTATGCAACCACAATTAAATAAATTCTGTTTTCCTAGAATAAAGCCTTTCATTTGGCCAGAAATGCCGGACCACAAAAGTGCACTGGAGAAATTATGTATATCACCAACAAAGGTACCGTCACAGCTCCTAAATAATAATTGCTTTTGGAGAAGGCCGGAGAAGTGAACAATCTAGGACAACATAGCTGATTTGGAAAAGTTCTCCAATTCATCTCACTTTCAGGTTCAGCTATGTTGTCCTAGATTGTTCCCTTCTCCTGTCTTCTTCAAACTCTTCACCCCTTTTGGGAATAACCCTGATAGTTTCTTTCATTTATGGGGCTATTCACGAAGCTGCCAAAGGCACCTGAGTGAATAATCGAGCCGAAGTAAAGTGAGCCGAACAACGTTCGGATATTCACTCCGGCTCAGAGCGGCTGATTTCAGCCGTACATCGGCTGCCTTCGGCTTCACTTCGGTCAGCCAAACATGCTCTGCCGAGCGGCATTCGGCTCGGCTATTCCGCTCGGTACCTCCGTGGTTCCGAGCAGAATAGAAAATAGTGAAAATAGTAGGGGGAAAAAAGGTTACAATTGAAAATTTTTTTTAATAAATAGTGAAATTCAAAAATAAATAAAGATATTTTTAAAAATTATTTTAAAACAATGGGGGGAGCTAGCAGTGATAGCTAGCTCTGCCCAACTGTTTCATATTGGCCGGCACCTGCTAGAGTCATCTAGCAGGTCTCGGCCAATGAACAATAACTGGGCGGAGCCGGCCATGATGTAACGGCCGGCTCCGCCCAATTGTTATTGTTTAATGACAGGTCATTTGGGGAGGCTGATCTGCCATTATAACTGAGCAGAGTGGCTCCGCCCAGCTGTCATTTGCGGCAGGCCGCTCTCCCCGGTTTGGCTTCGGCTCAGCTGAGCAGCTCGGCCGCCTTCAGCTGCTGTACTGGCTATAGTTAATAGCCCGTACAGCAGCAGTTCAGTTCGACTGAACCGAAGGGCTCCGTCGGCCGAAGAGAGCCGTAAAATCAGCCGAAGCTACGGCTGAATCCATTGGCTCCTTCGTGAAAAACCCCCTTAGTGTTTTTGGTATTTGTAATTTTTTTCATGTATTTGATCATAATTGCTTAAAAAAAAAATTCCACTGTTATATTCTTTCTGTGAAAAAGGACAGGTCCAGGGAAGAAGAAAGGAGCTCCAATAACCCTCAAGAGCTATTTTAAACCACCCTAGATTTGCCCTCTCTATTGACTCTAATGCAGTGGCATAACTATAGCCATAGCAGCCTAGGTGGCGGCTATGGGGCCTCGGGGTGAAAGGGGACCCCATTAGGTTGTTGAGGCAAATTAAGCGTAGAAAATGTGAGGATACCACAGAACTGTATCATTAAAAGTTGTAATGGTTGCAGTTGATGACAACTCTAATCCCCTGTGAAGTCTAGTGTAGAGACGACTTCACATGCACAAGAGGAGACTTTGGGACTTTGGTATCATTACTCACAGCTTAGGGAGAGGTTGTCAGGGGGGCCCCCATCGCATGTTTGCTATGGGGCCGCGTGATCTGTAGTTACGGACCTGCTCTAATGTATTTTGCAAAATTGGGAATTTTGCCACAATCTCTCAATTTTCAACAAATTTTAGATTCACTTCACTCACCGCATTTAGAGCCTAGTACAGTAAATCCAGTGATAATACATATAAGATATTTGGTTACAGTAGTGACAGCAATAGAAGTATCAATAATAGTAGAAGAAGTAGGGACTTTATTAGAAGACCCTCACGGGCCAGTGCCTAGGACAGCAAGGTTAGAGGGGGCAGCACCAAGCTTCAGAATTTATAAACTGTAATAGCTTTTTTCCTTTCTTTTGATCTTCTTTCTACCGATGGACATTTTTGGCTACAGATTTGTAGGGGGAAGAGCGTGCAGCAGGATGTTAAGATGATTCAAAAGGATCTTTACTGTTAAGAAAACATAACACCAAATGGACATTATGTGCAGATCAAAGGACATATTTTTAGTCCACACAAAGGCACTGCAAAAATGTGTTTATGACACATCTACAAACACTATTTGCAGGTTTCAATCACACAAGGGCTGCTGCAAACGCTCCTGAGCTATCACAGAGCTATCAAACTTTGGACATTTTCTTGCAAGACTTATGGTGGTTTTGAAAAAAATTGACACTGTGGTTTTTATTTATAATGAGAATATCCAGTGTTGGTTTTATTTTGTATTTGCTGTGATTTAAGATGGGGCCCTGCTATAACCTTTAAATTGTATTGGGTTAGGGTATGTGCTTTTAATAGTTTGTTTTTTCGGAACAAATTATTATTTATAATTAACGCTTATTATCATTTTTGTATTTCTAGTATAGGACACTTCCATATGCCCTTTTCTTTCATCCCTTGTAATTTTGTGTTTTGAGGGCTAGATCATATGCTGTATTTTTGTTATTATATATTTAGTTTTTGGGTTTTATGTATATGATTGAGGTTGATCCATCACCTTTTTAGCTCCTTTCATAAATAAATTGTAAACAATCATTATTTACATGAGAGAAATGGCATTTTGTATGTTAATGGTCTTTTTACAGTATTACATTTTCTTTATTTTGCAGTACATCCAAATAAGCTTTAATCCGGACTTCTTTGACAATTATCATATTAATAAAGTAGACTATATGAAAGCACAAGTGAGGACGGAAGACAATTTGCATGTTAGCGTGGCAGATACCCAACCAGAAAAGCAGCTTGATATTGACGGTTGTAATAACACCTCGTCTCCAGCGGAGGGCAGCAAAAAGTCTTCGGCTCTCATCGGTCATACCGGGCAGAATCGGGAACCCAAAGATCACATGGCTGGTACTGAAACACTTGAGATCAATTCTGTGGAGGAGCCTACAAAGCCTGAGAATGTTTTATTGCCAACTAGTGACGGCAGCTCGAAATGCATAACTTCAAATGACAGCCCTGCACCCCCTGGGGCTGGACCGGAGAATTTTCCTGCTTATTCCAGTGCCGTAAAGCAGCCAAACAATGGATTGGGCAGATTATGCTGGGAAGATATTTCCATGTACATTGCCATGTCTGCCTTTAAGACACCCAACAGCGCCATAAAACAATCCATTAATATCTAGTTCCTTGTGCATCATATATCACCTCTCCCGCTATAACAGACTATGATAGTTTTGTTGTAAAAAGTTCTGTGGATGGATAATACTGATGAAATATTGAACCTAAGGAGATTCTCCAGGAAAACTTACACACAAAGGAGGCTGTTTGGTGAATTCAATTTCTCAGATCATTAACTTCTTTTGGGGGGAAGCCAAGGGTTGTTTTAAAGGCTATCTCTATCTTTTATACAGCTATCCTCTAAAGCCCCCCCCCCCTCTTTCCCCAGCACCATGCCCAAGTCTTGCTCTTCCAATATTTTCACTGTTCACCCCACTGGGAGCCACAAAGCCCTGCACTCCGAGGTCTACCAGCCAGGCACAATCTCCATTTATTGCTACGGAAAGGCCATCCAATGTTGGGATGAATATTAACAGGTGGCCACTCTATAGGAATGAATGGAGGTCCTGATGCACAACTGCAGAAACAGATCATGGCTGGGAATCTTTCTATAAAGAGGCTGTAAGTAGCATAGAGTTAGGTGAGCCTTGCATTGCATGATATGATGCAGAGGGACTGCCTACAGCCTGGAGTGTCAAGCAGAGGAGTAAAGAGTAGTGCACTGGAGCCTGCCAAAATAGAGATTGAGGTAAGTAATAGCAGCTCTTAATCTCCAGAGGCAGAGGCATGATGGGGTTTACAGGTCCAGCACAGCTGGAGTGCCAAGGTTGCCTACCCTTGCTCTAATTGGACAGATGCACATCAGTTGGCAGGGTTGAGCCCTGAAGTCATTGAAAGGTAGCCCCAGGAAAAGAAAGAGAATAGAGCAGAAGCTTTTGTGACTCATAAGGGTAACAGTGGACATCTCGTGTTGCTGGGGTACGTTACTGACCCTTGTTTTAACCAAGGAAGTTACTTGCATGAGCGATGAAACTTCTTTAACATCACAGAACAAGTCTAGTGAATGTGAGAAAAGTAGGAAAGATAAACCCTACAAAAGTCCATGGTGGTTACATTTCTCAACCACAGAGGAACAAACTCCACCAAAACCTGTGCATCAGTGTAAGTGACCCATGTATGGTACATAGCCATGTTTTCTATGTCAATGTGGACTATTTACCATGTACAAACTGAGAGCTTCAACCAGCTGCATACACAAAAAGCTGCTACAATCAACAGTAAGGACATTTATCAATGCTGTAGATCTGTTACATAACAGCCACTGCTTTATACATATATTGCTGCTCAGGACCTACCTGACCATTGTTATTGTATTATATTCGTGTTCAGATACATTTTACAGTAGAAAATGAATCAGCACGAAAGTCAATGAGCAATCTCTCTCCATTATGAGTGTTTTGGGGAAAGATTTCCCCCTCGCACACTCCCACAATGCAGGGAGACCCCCATTCTGTGCTCAGTAGAAGAATGGCTTTGTGCTTCTATTAATAAAATAGTAGCAGGTCAGAAAGATAATTGACACTGACCTCAGGCTGGCCATACACTAAAAGAAAAAATATAAAGCTGGCCATACACCAGAAGAATTTCATCCCAAAAATGTGTGCAGTTCTCTAATAGTTAAAGGGGTCAAATTGACGATTTTGATGATAGTGACTAAAAAAAAATTTCCGCACGAGGTTTAAAATTTTTCTCCAATGAACGAAATTCTAACAATGAAAGTGGTTTTCGTTCGAGAAACTACACTCATTCCAAAACCAAACGACATTTGTCAATGGTTCTTCATAAAATTGGTTCCATGTATGGCCAGCTTTAGGGATAAGGCTGCAAATTATGTTTTATTCCCTTTATTCTTAGTGATGCTGGACTTCATAAAAAATAGTTTTTCTAAACATATGCAACGCCGTACCATGAATGTAATATACTGTATGCCTAAAAGGATGAAATGTATTTGTGTGAAATTGTATGAAGTTGCTTGATTCTATTTTATACATCATATATTATGTGAATTGTTTATATATCCTGTTATGTCTTATGCACTTTGATAGATATAGGCAACGGTAATAAAACATAGCATACAGACCATTGTTGTTTCTTAATGTCATCATAGGCAGACATTTATTTTTTTATGACGTCCTCCCTTATCACATTGGTAGACTCCACTCTATGCCTATTGTGGTTGTACATAGTCTAGTGTACTATAGGCTGAAGGGCTCATTCACACCAAAATCAGACTGAAAACGTAAGTCAACAGAGGACCAAACTACGTTGACTTCCATTGCGTTCTGTTGCATTTTTTTCCAATCTTTGTTTTAATTTACATGTCCTGAGTGGACTTCTATGTATGTTTTTACTTGCATTCCGTTGCGTTGACATCAGTTTTCGACACGTTGCGCTGGAAAAAGTAGAGCATGCAATGCAACTCAGCAAGGTGAACTGGTCCTATTCACACCCATACATTTTGTAGGTTACCTTCAATTGACATCCTTGAAAAATGTTAACTGATGCTTACTGATTTGGTGTGAATGGGGCCTAAAAGAGAAGGAAAGTCAAAACTTTACTCCTGTGACCCAAAGCCAGTCACTAGCAGGATAATGCTCACTATCAGCTGACAGACTAGAGCCACGCCGCGGCCAAGAGGGGTCCTGACAATATTATTGGGATCCACCTGGCTGTCTGATTGACAACTGGCTTTGCCTCTCTAGAGCCAGAGCAAGCTATGCCCGCCCTCTTCCCTGTCTGTCCCTCTAATAAGTATTGGAGGAACAGAGAGTGGAGGGGAGAATCCCTGAAGGGAGCGGTGACAGACAGTCACTACTCTCTGCAGGGAAGAGACTGTGAGCTGAGAGATCAGCGGTCACATGATCACTCAGTTGGCGTGTTATATCCGCAGTGTCCCACACCGACTCTAAGTATTGGGAAAAGTATATTTTGCTCTTATTTTTACTTAAGATGCCCATACAGGTCACGATCTGACTATACAGTTTCTGTACAAAAAACTGTGTAACATAAGGGCCTACCTAAACACTAGATTCTATTTATATGCAATCAAACCGTTTCTCATTTAAACTGTACAATCCTATTGTAAGGTGTATGGTCAGCTTTAGACTGATTTCCACGTACACATGAGATTAAAACTCCCCGTGTACTATATTCCCCCTGGGGAGGAGGGGGGGGGGGTAGTT